ACATGGATATGCTATCACTTCTTTAACTGGGCCTCTACCTTTGACTAATTCAGTGATTTCCAATCCTGGACTGTTAAAACAGTGCTGCAACAAACCCTTAGATATATATTCTTTTGATTTCTGCAGTATGTCCGTAGGCTAAATTCCTAAAATTAGAATTGCTAGGTCTAAGGGGAGGTGTATTGTTAACATCGATAGATATAAAATTCCTTCCCATAATCCCATCAGCCTCTGGGAGAGCGCCTGCTTTCTCCCATCTTTGACAACACAGTGGAGACCCCATTCTTAAATTCTGGCCAAAGGGATTAAGAGTTACTTCTTTTTCTTTCATTTCCTCAAGCAAAAAAGCCCCAGGATGTTTGGAGGTAGGCTTCTTACTACTCAATTTGCATCTGAAAATAGTCACAGTTCATTCACTTTACATTTGTTTTCTTACTTGGATGAAGCTTAAAAGCTGAGAGAATTTGAGAGACTTTTAGATGAAATAAAGAAATAGTCAAAAAAGCTTATTGTGGTTTATTAGCTTTATAAGGCTTCAAATACAGTCAGCATAAAGCAGTTTTTATTTTTTGACGGTGAGCGCTGACAGGTTCTGACGGCCAGCAGGGGGCAGCATGTCCCCACAGAGTGTCAGGTTGCAACTCCAGCTCCAGCTCTGGGACTCAGAACGTAGTATTCAGTCAGAAACACTGTTTCACTTTACCTTCACTGCCATCTCAGGCTTGGAGTTGGCTGGAGTTTCTGAGTGCAGAACAAAGCTTAGCTAAAAAAACAGAATAAATTAAAATATTAAATGCCAGCCAAATCTAGGGTAGCACAGAATAAGGGGATATTGCGAACATAAATAACAATAGCACCATATTGTAGAATAGAATTTAAATGAAATATTTGATTATTCCAGCCACTATTTCTGCTGTAAAGCACAAAAGGAATATCCATTATTGGATTAATATTATATTTCATATCCATTTTGCTAAGAAATGCTAAAAATGTCAAATCATATCTTCTATTTCCCTAGAAATAGATTTATTATTTTACTTCAAAAAGCAAATTAACCTGCTCTCTTAATATTAGCCCATTCAACTGGCAAGTATTGATTGAGTGCTAGGTGCAAAGGATATGGGGCAGAGAAGTCATGGCCTCTGCTTTAGTTGGCAAAACAAGAAACACTTGGGGCCTGGGGCAGGAAGCTGTGGTTCTAGCTTTAAGGGAGGCACCATAACCTCTTCTGGGGACTTGGGCAAGTTATTTAACTTCTCTGTGCCTTAGAAATGAAAATAAAATGAATGCCATCTGCCTTACTGACCCCATAAGTGCACATATAAAATACCACATGCAAAGATGCTTGAAAAAAAGAGCTAGTGCTATACAAATAAAAGATTTTAAAAGCCACACTGGGCCCTAGCCAGTTTGGCTCAATGGTTAGAGTGTTGGCCCACGGACTAAAGGGTCCCAGGTTCGATTCCAGCCAAGGGCACATACCTCGGTTGCAGGCTCAACCCCCAGCCCCAGTCATGGTGTGTGCAGGAGGCAACCAATTGCTGTGTGTCTTTCTCACAACGTTGTTCCTCTCTCTCTCTCCCCACTCCCCTTCCACTCAGGTGAGGATAAAAAAAAATTATTAAGGCCACACTGGAATGACCATACCCTACACCGATAGAAGTGGCAGCCTAGTGAGTTCTTGTTATGTGCCAGGAACTCCAGTAAACACTCTCATTATCTCAGTTATCTCTGTTAAAATCATATACCTATGAGGTAGGTATTACTAGCCCATGTGGGGGGCTAAAACAAATTAATACTTTTTCTCCCACTTTATAAACTCTTCTGGCTGGGCAAATAATCTAATTAACAGAGACAGATTAGCAGGAGAAAAGAAATTAATATATATGCATGGAGAATTCACACAGGCATGAAAATTCCAAAGACAGTGAGGCAACATTGGGTATAAATGACATTTTGGACAAAGGCGAAAAGGTGGGCGGTACAGGGTATTAGGTTGGAGAAATGAGAGTGGGAGATTTACAGGCAGTTGAGGAAGAGCAGAACATCCATGGCAGGCAATTTCTTGCCAGGCAACTAAAAACAATGGGACATAGGGGCTATCTAGCTAACAAGACCCCACCTGCTGCCCTCCTACTTACCATAATTAAGTCAAATTAGGCTAAGGCTAACATCCTAAGATCTTCTTGAAGCAGGTTTTTTTTGTTGTTTTTTTGGTCTGAATCTCTTGGACAGGAATGGGGGCAGGGTGTCAAAGTTTCCTTTTGAGTCTTGTTTCTTAATTACCAGCTTAGAATCATTATCCTAAAAGGTAGGTTCAGGGTGGCAAACCATTTGGTTCCCTTCACCCATTTTCCAGATGAGGAAATTGAGGTGTAGGGAGGTTGGATAACTTTCCCAAAGCCAGGCCGTTACAAGTGGTGGAGCAGGATTCAAGTCCAGGTCTGACTCCAGAGTCCACTACAAGGTGTGTCAGTCTGGTTCTTCATCATCCTCACAGTTCTGCACTTAAAAGTTGTAGGTATTGCTCCTTTAATTTTTCTCATAAAAGACTAGCATCAGAAAGTTAGGTCACATGCTATCATATACAGCATTCTGAGCTAAGGATGAGGTAAGATGCCTTGGGGCTTCGGAGGGGGGAAAGGTCATTCAGATGTCCAGTAATTGGATGTTTGTTCTGCCCTATAGGTAGGTCACAAAAATTATTTCTGTTATAACTCTTATTATGGGTAGGGCCCCTAATTTAAATTCTTTAAGGGAGAGGTAAAAGTTTTCATGAGCCTGCAGGCTCTCAATTAACTTCAGCTCAAAACAACCCACATGCAAAAGTGGCACGTATTGGGGAAACTGTTCTGAACCCCTTTGCTTTCCATACATACATCACTTTATGGACTCAATCAGTTTCAAAATTATTTCATGAAATAATTTCTCTTTAAAAATGGAAATTGGCCATGTGTCTTAAGAAAAATTCTAGGAATACTGATGAGATTCACTAGTTAATCTATTGTAGTAGCATGAGCTATTGTTGACTAAGGGAAAATCAAACGAGTAACTATGGAAAACCAACAGAAGAGGAGAATGAACCAAAAGAAGGAATTATAAACAAAAAGAATCCCAAGGGAAAGGTTTAGGCGGATTTCTTGAATTTCTTGACATATAGGAAATCGAATGGGGTGGATTTCACTACCAGGGCTAAGCCTTCAGGGTAGAGAATTACCAAACCTTGGGCAACAGCCCTTTTGGATGTTTCTTAATTGCCAGCTAGGGGGAACTGCTAGGCAGAAGTGAAGGACCTTGCTTTGTGAATTATGCAGTCTCATTAGCTAGTGGCGAAGAGGTGGCTCACGAAGCACAGATCCCAAGGGCCTTACCAAGTTTGGGTACTCTTTCGTGCTTGATATTTTCTTTCATGAATCATACGGCTGCAAGGGTCTGGTTCCCGGGACCTTAAGTCAGTCGCTGGAGCAAATATCACCTGAGAGCTCTTAGTATGAGGCAGTCACTGTTCTAACACTTTATATACAATAACCCTTTAATAACTAACTCATAATGGTTCCATTATCTCCATTTTACAGATGACAAAAACCGAGGCTTTTTGCCTCAAAGTCCACAACCAGGATTTGGGCCCAGGCAATCTGGTTCTAGAGACTGTAAGCTTTGTCGCTCCATTAGTCCATCTCTTTAAACTACTAAGGAGGAAGGAGCAGAAGAAAAAGAGAGGGAGGAGAGGGCTAGAGCAGAATGAAGGAGAACATGAGCGGCTTTCTACACGCAGCTCCTGAAGACCCTACTATGGGCTCCGCCTTGAACTAGGCACCCTGGAACCACAGTCCCTTCATGCCCTGGAAGATTAGAGAAGCTGAACACAAACAGGTTATTTCTGTACAATGTGATCACATGCACGACAGAAATTCCTGTTTTCCCGGGCACATGCTAACGTGGAAAGTTACGGAGTTAAAGTGACTGACCATTAGGACACAGGCTCATTCAGTCACAGACCAGCTACTGGCGGATTACATTGCCAATCTGTTTCCATAATTTTTTTTTTTTCTTAACAAGGCTGTTCTGCAAAAGTTAAATTTAAGCAAATTTACAATCTTATTATGTTTGGTCTTTATTGTTTGCTTTCAAGATTGCAAAACATTAGGGCAAACCTAAAGTAAAAGGATTACATCCAGCAATTAAAAATTAAATAAAAAATATTCCACCAGTAAAATTATTTCTACTTTTGATGAATGCTCAGAAGTTTTCACAATTTAATGATTGGAAAATATATTCCACTAAAACCTGCAGAATGACGACTAATTTCCTATTTGCGCCAGTTCATTAAACTGCCTAATGGCAGCTATGGAAAAGTAAATGCCTCATGCGGAAAGCTTTTGCTCTTTAAACGAACGACGAACAAGCGCATTGCAACAGAGACCGAAGGAGTGTGTCCCCAGGAATTCCAGAGGGGCAGCGAGTTCTAGTGGGACCGCTAGAAAGGTTTCTGCTCCCTGGGTGGCATCTGGGAGCAAAGCCGCGTGGGGACGGGGGATTGTCCCCTCAGAGCGGATTGTCCCCTCTTCGCCTTCGTCTGCGGGTCGCATCGGGGAGGAGCGCCGGGGACCAAAACCCAGTGGCTGGCAGCGTCTCGGCGGAGGATCCGCACCCATCGGGCGGCTGCCCAGCTCTCGGGAAGATGCGGACCCAGGACGTCCCATCGCGCTCACAGCCTGGCGAAAGTGAGGGGCTCGTTAAACAAAGCGGGCGAGTGCGGGAAGGGGCGGGCGCTAACCACGCGGCTGAGCCTGCGGATCAGCTCGGAAAGGGCACGCGCGTGGCGGCACCCGCTTCCCGTCGCCAGGCTCGGGGTACCCACAAAGCCCGCACAGTTCCCCTTCCTCTGCGGCAGGGATCTGAGAAAAGCCAAGCCGAGGGAGCTCCCGCCCGCGCCCCGCCACCCCCTGCAGTCCGAGCCGGAACCGGAGGCGGCCCGCCGCGCGGGAGGCTCCGACTTTTCTTTTGGGGATAAGATGGCTGGTCAGGGAAACAAAGGAAACTTGGACTCGGCCCGAGAGCGGTGTGCGTGGTTAGCGAGCGCGCCCCGGGTCCTGTGTGGGAGTCTCCAGGGGCCCGCGCCAGCCCGCACGCAGCGCGCTCGGGGAAACACAAAGCACCCGCCCGGAGCAGG